CCTGGCCCTCCTGGCCCTCCTGGCGCTGAGCCTCCATAGGCACACTCTGCATGTGACTACAGGCTGCTCACTAAACGGGGGAAACGGACGGGGTAGGGGTTAGGCACCATGCTGGAGAGCAAAGTCCCCTAACTCATTGCCCCTAATTTATGACACTCCAGGCCTCGGCTTCTCCATCAGGGGTTAGGACCAGACCTAGGCCGCTCCAGGAAGCCCTCCTCCCCTCCTCTCCAGCCTAGGCCTGCCAGCCTTCCCTGTGCCACCCAGTCCCTGGGGCTTCTCCTCCCACTCTGTCCTAGACCACAGCCATTAGCTGCCCCACTGAGGGCAGAGCCACATACGCTTGATGGTGACCCTGGGCCTGGGGTGAGGCTGGTCTGGAGATGCCAGCTGTTGGCTGAAGAGTGGGTGCATGACAAGAAGACACTCTGTGGGATGTCCTGAGGCAGGTGTCTGGCAGAAAATCCCAACTAGCAGTAAACTTGGGAGTGAATCGAGCATGGAGAACAAAAGGGGTCCGTGGTCAAACCTATTTGGGAAACTATCCAGTTTGGTTACATAAAGCAAACTAGCTTCTTTCCTGGGGACTCTCAGAGCCCAGGAGCCAACTGCAGGGAGGGAGCCGGTATGAGGCTCCGAGTGCAGGCAGCGTTTCCCAGCCTTCTTCCTTGGGACAAACTGTGACATCTTATTTAACTCGATGGCTGGTGAGATGCTGGTGGAAAGGATGGAGGTTCGCGGGTGGGGGGGGGGGTTGGGAAGCTACATAGCGCTACATTTTGACCCCATGAGAGGGGGCAGGGAGGAATAATCTAATGTTCAGAACTATCAATAACATGACAGAGAAATTTTGGTGGGGGGGGGGGAGTGAGGGTCGGCTCAGCCAGAAGCAGGGGCGGGAGGTAGCTTGCCCTCCCCGCAGGGGCGAACTGTGAGAGCCTTCTCCTCCCTGTGGGAGGAGAAGCCCCAGGGACTGGGTGGCACAGGGAAGGCTTTTGGGGTGAGGAGGCACCGGCCCCAGTGTGAGCTCTCTGGAAAACACAACCTTGTAAAGTGTGAGAAACCACTGTTGCCTCCCTGTTCCTCAGCTATGGACAAGGAAAGTGGTGAGTTAGACCGAAGTTAAAGGGTTTCCACTCCTACAGGCTGGGCCAGGCCAGCGGCTTCTCTGCAGAAGCAGGAGACTAGCAACACACACACACTCTCAATCCAGGCCAGGAGCCACTGGGAAGGCCAGAGGGTGAGGGGTTGACAGGGGAGGGGGAGCGGACGGCCTGGGGTGGTGATGAAGGAGGCCAGCAAGCTTCTGGGGCCTCTAGAGAAGCACTGAAGTTTTCAGACGGTGGTGGAGGGGTCCTGGAGCTGGAGTTCTCGTGGGAGAGGGGCTGGGGGACGGGGACCCTCGGTGGCGCTGGGGCAGTGAGACCTGGAGGCTACCTTGGAGGTGGTTTCCGCCTGCTTCCTGCCTGTTCAGCTCTTCAGACCAAACTCGCTGGTGTCCAGAAGGCGTTTCCCACCCGGCTCATGGGCCCTCTGGGGTGGCCCATGGTCCTGCCCAGCAAGTGGTCCAGGGGCCTCGGCGCGCCCTCACCTCCACAAGCGGGTAGGCGATCTCGTTGTAGATCTGCTCGGTGAAGTGGTCCATGTAGTAGGCGCCGTCGAAGGTGAACTGCTTGGGGGGCTGGTCGGCGGCGCCCGGGTTCTGGATAAAGCACTGGCCGCGCGCGCAGTCCACCGTGACCACGGGCTGGCAGTTCAGCTCCCGCTCCCGCTGGTTCATGGGGCGGCAGCGCACCACCACCTTCACGGACTCCGCGGCC